AGAGCCTATGTCATATCGTAGATAATAACAGTTTCATGATATTTATATTATGAAGTAATATCCTGGATTTTTTCATATCCATCCATTTTATTTTTTGTACCAGAGAAAAGAAAAACAATTCATTGAAATCGAAGATTTAAATGTACACGATTTATACAATGTGCATAAACAGATATCAGACAAGAGAAAAACAAGAAAAAATATTTCTTACACATCGTCTTGATACAAGACATTTCAAAAGAAAAACAAACAAACAAAATCTTAATTTTTTTTTCAATCACGAATTAATTCAATAACAAAATTAAATGCAACATGTTCATGCAATGGAAATGTTTGTTTAATAACAACTTGATAACAATTCATTATAAAATTACTTAATACTAATTTTCCACGTGGTAAACGTAATTGATAACCCATTTGTTTACAATCAGGATTTGGTATACGTTCAATAATTGTTTGATTAATACCATCATAAACATAAAGTGTTGCTTGTCGTGCACGTATTGTATTAAATGAACGAAAAGCACGTTGACAAGTAAACCAAAATGATGCACAATCAGTTGAAAATTGTGCATTGGCTTGAAATATTAAACCTTTATAAGTTAATTTATTATCTTTTCGACCATTTAATATAATTGTATGGCGATTTGGATCATAATATGAACGATCATCAACTATAAAATACTACATTAAAAAAGAAATAGAAGAAAAAAACTGCTTACTATATATATGTTTAATTCCAATAATTAATTCAGTACGATCATCAATTAAACAAAGAGAACGTGCAAGAAATGCTTTTTTAAATTTTTCATTTAATTGTGATTTAGCAACCGATGCAATTAAATGACGTTTTTCAACATCACCAGTTAATGATAATAATTTTGTACGTAATAATGTTAAAATTTTAATAAAATAATCATCTGATAATCCAAGAAACATCATACCATTTAATAGATCATCATAGAATAATAATTGTTGTGGACTTTGTTGTAAATTTTCATCTGCATATAATAAATCAATACATGTTAATAGAGTTTTTTCAGTGAAATTAAATGAACAATGATATTCATTTAAATAACATTGTTGACTTGAATCATAGGTTGATTCAGGTTGATTATATTTGAAAAATAAACGAAAATATATTGATGAGGCACTTAAGACAAGACGATGACATAATACAGATGAAGATAAACCATTACATGTGTATACAAGACGACAATCACAACAATGACGAGCTGATAAATATGATCGAAGTTTTGAACTTAAACCAATTGACATTGATGATGGTAAAGAATCTTAACGAAAAAAAAATTAAAATAGGATTTGTTTTTTGTTGTAAAACTTACCAAGATCTTCTTCATCTTGAAATAACATTGAATTATCACGTTTATTTGTTGTTGTTTGTGTTTTTGTATTAACAACTTGCATTTTTTTTTTAATTTTAATTTCTTATTAATGTCTTTTTCCACTTGTTTTTCTATGCAAAGATACAGATGACCGATGACGTTCAATATACACCCACCGACCAGTCAGTATGAACTGTTTCTTTTTTGTTGTTACCGATGTGTGACGTCGTAGAAGCAAGAGAACAGACAAACATATTGTTCAAGATAGACGGCAACTGACTCTGACGAATATTTATTTCTATATAGAACAGTCTACAATGTGCGTGTGTATACATATCTTTGCACGCAATTCGAAAAATAAGAAGAAAAATAAAAATAAAAGAAGAAAATATCTTTTAGTCCGTCGATGATTATCATGTTTTCTGTTGCTGCTTCTTCTTCTGTCTTATCTCGGCATACACTTGGCGCATTAGATGAATCGTAAATAAACTGAAATAACCTGGAAGTAAAACCAGACCAGCTCCAACCATTGCTGTTGTTGAAACTCCTTGAATAATTTCATCCATATCATGATCATAGTCAACTTCGATAACCATTCTTATTGCGTTTTGTTGGTATTAGTTGTATTTGACGATACAGAAATGTAGGGAGTATTTATTCAAGCGTGACACGTT